CTCTCTCTCTCGTGCGCGCGCGCGCGACTCAGCCTCCCTTTCGCGAATCTCTGTCTAACGGCTCGCAACGGTGGTCCGTTGCATTATCGTGGCTCCGAACGTAGCGTAGCATTGATGGATATTGCGGTTGCTTCTGGTGTATTGTGTAACGGCGCGCAGCCGCTTCGCTTCCGATAGGTTTCCCCCGTATTCGTGCGGCTATTTAATTAATGACGGCCGACCTCTCGCGCATTTTTCGATAATTATCGGGACGTCGCGTCGCGGCGCGTACACCGCGCTCGCGGGAATACACGCGGCTGGGCTGTATGGGCGGTCGGCGGCAGACACGGTCGAGAAAATATCGTCGAGAGTTGCCCCACGCCAGGCGGTTCTTAATATTTCGTAACGCGCGTGTACTACTTTCTTAATCCCCGCTGAATCTTTGGATACGCAAAGTACGCGCGCGGATTCGCGTTGCGAATTAATTTCATGTGTTCGAAGGAGTGCAGTAATTTCTGATTTGTAACATCACGGCAGAAGCGATTTTAGTTTCGTGCAACGTAGAATTTAAATATATCCTCTGCAACATGCGTCTCTCGTAGGCTGCAAATATTGAACTGCCTTTTTTCCAGGGCGCGTATTCGAGCGATAAATCCTATGCGATAGATAATCGGGGATGGGTACGCAAAACGGTGGGAAATTTGGAGGCTGACTAAACAAGTAAACGCGCTGTAAGCGCCTGCACGAGACGAATTTGACATGCGTCTGGGTTAATTTGAAATTCGACACGCGTAATGTAACGGGGGAGCTGAGACACTTGATCAATATTCTAGGGAGAATAGTCACGGACCCTTTCGCAGACTAAACACGCTTAACTACGTCAAAATTTAATCAACTGTCGCATTAGCTATTCATTTTAGCATTATTCCGAGGGACCCGTTCGGCAACGTATGATCTGTTTAAAACGGACATAATTAATATGTTTAATATCGATTTTTTATTATCATTGTTATGTACATTTTTTATACTTTCAAGGTGTTGCCTCTTACGAACTTTATTCTGAACTTTATGTCGATATGATAAATTGCACAAATAAATCGCGAATTTAATTATAAATAATTTTTTTAATGTTTGAAAAATCTTTATTTTTTTTGCTCTCGTTACATTCGACGTAAATTCCCAGAAAATTTAGTTAAGTGATTTTTATTTACATTACTTTTGTGTTATTTAATCCATCGGCGCATATTATTTCGCCCCTCGTCTCTTCCATTCAACCCCGATCTCTATTTTTAAATGTTCTTGCCTAAAGTTCCATATAGCTCCGCAGCTGTGAGACGAGATTCGGTCGATCAAAATGCAAATTGCCGCGATGAGTTCACGAGTGGCGCTATTATACAAGGCGGGCTACTAAACAAAGAGACTAATCAAGATCTACTTCGGTGTAAAAGCGCGATTCTAATTTCACGGGCGAAACGGTTTGCCTCCGCCGCATTGGCTCGAGTGCATACAAAAAAAAATAGGGAACGAATATCTGCCTCTTTTGATATAGCGCTCAACGTGGCGCGGCAAGAATATTTCATGAAATTTTAATTTTATTATAGCAGTTTCTCTGGCTCTGCGTGGATTCGGCTCTTCAGGAGAGACATTAAACCCTTCGCTCGTGGGCCGCTTTGTATTAGTATTCGAGCACGTGAATATACGACAGTAAATCACGGTTTGTCCATTCACACGAGTAAATACATTAATAAACAACGTGTGCCCATAAGGTAGACGATTAAAACCACCGCCACGTGAATCGCGGTTAATTTATATGCGGGTCCAGACTACGTGACCGTTTTCATCCCTACGGATCCCCTGCGGGAGATGCGCGCCTCCCCTAACGAGCCCTTTATGCACAACGCCGCCTTACCCTTTTCTCATAAATTTTGGGTGGTCAAATATTAGTATTGACTCGTGTCTGCCTGTTATTACGATCGGCACACCCCGTGGGATGGCACTGCGTGACAGAACAAGAATTATCGATAGTACTTCCTCCCGAATTACAATAATTATAACTCAGATAGTGATCTTCTTAAATTCATGATATAATGTACTAAGGCGCAACGCTATAATACTGTAATAATATTTATTATTGCTAAATTTTAATAATTTCTTGCACTTAAAACATTTTTAATTTGAAGAATATTCCTTGTTGCATGATCTGATTTAAATCTCTCGATATAAATTCTGTAGATTAATATTTAAATATTGATAAATCCTTTTACATAAAAATGTTATATGTAGAAACTATTGAATAGAATACTCTATGCAGAGTTCATTCATCATTCATTTATAAATTAACCAACTTTAAGCAAATGCTTTTTGAAAACTTCATCTTTTGGGCAATTCCTTAAGAGGATGCTCTCTTACGAAAAAAAATTTTCGATTTTTTAATCGTAAGCAATTTGAATTTGGCTTTATAAAATTACAAAATTCTTTCACGCGATTACAGTACGCGTGAAAACAAAGCGGGGGGTTCACGACTTTATATAAAAAACGAAGAAAAATTAAAAATATCAGCATGTGAAGCCTAACCACAATTACTTATAAAGCGATATTTTTAATTTCTCTTCGTTTTTTATATAAAGTCGTGAACCCCCCGCTTTGTTTTTACGCGTACTGTAATCCCGTGGAAGAATTTTGTAATTTTATAAAGCCAAATTCAAATTGCTCACGATTAAAAAATTGAAAATTTCAAATACCAATATCTTTCTCATTAGACTTCTGACCCGAGTGTTTCAAGTATAAAAACGTACTGCTATGTGGTCCGCAACTTATCCTGGTATTATTTTAGGCGTAAAAACTAATAAAAAGATTCAGCAGCACAAAAACTATATTCGAATGTGTCGGTAAAACAGATGACTTTAGCATCCTCTTAATTTTTAATATTAATTATATTTAAATAAATGAACTTTAGACTATAATAAAGTTTTGCGTTGGGATAAATTAAATTTCAGTTGAATTTGAATACAAAAATATTAAGAGCATTGCACACACGTGGTCGTAGCCTGTGCACCGTAGTCGCGTAGTCGCTTTTTGTACGCGCCACACATACTCGCCACATCCGGTTTCGCTCTCGATCACCCAGATCCCACGTGAAACCCTTGGCGGTGGTGTGCGTTTCTCCGAAAAGACGAGTCTCGCGCGCTCTCAACACTCCGCCGATCGCGTTGCGGTCGACCATCCGCACGCACCATGAGGGCGGAAATACGTGGGCGATCGGGCGCACATATAATGGTTACACCGCGCGCCGTTCTCCCTCCTCCCTCGTTTCTCGCATGCCCTCGCTAAACCTCGATGTTTATGCACTCCGAGGCGGTGATGCGGCCCAATATAATGCACCCACATCGGGCGCGAGACGACATAGCCACTTGTCCGCGCTGGTATTCGAATCTTGATGGGAAAGCGATGCCGGGGGAGATTGCGACAATGGCGCAATATCGACGTTCCGCGAAAGCGATTGCGTCGCTTTTATCGGAGGCATGCGAAGAATTGACCGCTCAAATTGGAATTTCGTTCGATACGTGTATCTGCTTATGGTGATCTGGGTTGTGGCGATGTTACGTCGATCTCAATGAATTTGTACATTTAATTTACCAGAGATTTGGGGGACTTGGCGAGTTAAAGAGAATTTTTATAGCAACTGAAATTTGAATAATTAAACGTATAAACGTATTGTTATGTATATGAAATTAGGTTATAAGTAATATAATTGAAAATAATTATTTTTATATCAGAAGGAAAAAAAGACTTTATTAAAATAGTCATATTTGTCAAAATAATTCAAAAAATAATAAAATGAATTGTAAAATAATTTCTCGGGAAAAAAGAAGACGAGAGAAAAATGCTTTATGAAACATAAGCAATTTATTATATAAGCGTCTATTCGGACATTGCCAAGAATTATATAATAAGCTATTGTTACATCATAGAATTGCGAGTGTGTCTAAAAGCTATTGATTTATTTCGCGCCGTTTGCACTGGCAAGTTAATGTTATCAATGTAAGCAGTTCACTGTACGCAGCTGATACGATTTTGCACAGATGCGCTTCAGGAATAATGTTCTAACCGGTATTGGTTTAAGCGATGCGCTCGGGAGGAATATTGACGTTTCTCTCCCGTGGGTGTTGCTGCACCCCTGGCCAGAGGATTCTGCCGCCTTTTGTCACAGAGTCCAAATCACAGTCCCCTTGTTTACCCTCGCGTCGAGGGGGATAACTGCCAGTAACAGATTTTGCGCGTGGTCGCCGTGATTCCGAATCGATGTAAATGGACCCGCGAAGCTGCTCGATCCCTTCCGTCTCGATTGCTTCCGGTGGCCGGACGTGTGTTGAAAACGTGTGATTAATGTTGCGATGCGTAGCCCACAAAATGAGCCGTGGCAGTGTTCACATTAGATTTATGAAAAGATTCTTTATTGAAAGAAATTTCTCACGTTATAGTCATGGTATAACTAGTTGGTCCACTCCGTCATTTGTTTCATTTAACGTCGATTTCTTCTGCGCATCCGACATTATTCTGGGCAGACCAATGAGAGAAAAGTTGTATGTGCGGTAGTGTGGCTTTGACGAGTAGGTACGTATCCACACACACGTCGCTGGATCCTGCCCGAGTGCCTGGCGGAATACCACGTAATCGGGACCGCAAAGATCAAAGGGACCGACAGAGAGTGGACCTACTAGTTATACTATGTTATAGTTGTCTTCATAGACGTTTAGTTGTTTTTCATACGTGCGACGAAAGTTAATTGTTAATCACTCCAGCCAGCGGCACGCGATACTATTTTTCCTACTGGATTGCTCACGAGAGCCAATCAGGATTTAGCCTTAAGTCACCCGATCTAAAACTCTGCAGCCCTATTGGTTCACGTAAGCAATCCAGTAGGAAAAACAGAATCGTGTGCTGTTGGCTGTAGTTGCAATCGTGAAATTAGTTTTGAAGTTAGCCTACAAAAGTCAGCGTATCAGTTTACTGTGTTACAGAATCGCGGAGACTTCGCCTCCCTCGTCCGGAATTTGCTCGGACCGATTTACGGCGACAGTGTTATGAATCTACTGATAAGACAAGCACGGGATATCCTAGTTTGCGCTTATCATGGCAACTTGGAGAACTTTGTCCGGACTTATCTCTCACCTGCCGCAGTCCTGCTAGCGGAAGTCAAGAATGTCGCCTCCGAAACGGTGAGTTTCTTTACAATGATGATTGTGCCATTAGTGTATTATCCTCAAACGTTCACAGAACGACGGTAAAAAAAAAGACGCAATTAAAGAAAGCTGCTTACACAGATAGGTAATTCCGCGAAGCAATTAAAGTAATCAGGCGCATGCTCTCCATGTACGGTTAGATATCTGGGATCCTGTTCGTGCGTATGATTACAAAGTTCCAGTTACTCTGCTTTTTAAAATACCGCGGGTATCGTAAAATTATCGCGGGGCCTATCATTCGTGCAATTTTGTTCACCGCGTGCTCTATCAATTGAACTACTTTTATCACAGCTTATGGAAAACAAATAGGCTAATAGGATGCTATGATATATGAATATATCTAAATTTCATAAGTTTTATCGACCTACACTGGCTATAGCGATTTTTGTTGACCGTATCAAGCTATTAAAATTCTTATTGCGAAAAATATTACCCCAGCCAGGATTCGGACCTGGGACCTCCCTACAATCCGTGACGGGCGTCTTAGCCAGCTCGACCACCGGGGCTGTGATAATACTATTCGCAATAGCGTGTATATAACTTTAAGATGTTGTTTACGCGTCTATTTCGACTTTCCAGAAACTGTGCGTCGATACGGATTGTCGACCGCACAATAACCTGTCGATACGCGATTTTTAGAATTTCCCTTTTCCCTTCCCTCCCTCTGATCCCATTCCTCCTAACGGAGGAAACCAAGTTTTTGGTCCTTGGTGTAATAATTAATAAATTAATAACATCAGTTGTTGGACACCATTATCTAAGGTCGATGGTGTGTTAAGAAACAAGAGTAATTATATATCTAAAATTTAGCAATCTATTCTTCTTCTTCTTCCCCGTGTATTAGGCTTAAAGCCTGTTTTATCCAGTTCTCGTTCTGGTACTTTGAGCATTTGGTTTTACTTTATCGTAGGCTGCTAACTTTGCCGAAGGAAACCTCCCATCTAGAGGGCTATACCCCTAAAGGGGTGTGTGTGGCAATATACTCTCGGTGGTTGCCACTTCCCTTCGGGAGATTCCGAAAAAAACCAGCGGTGTCCGTGGATTTGAACTCGGATCTTTTCCTTCATTTGTTTACTAAGCAGCGCACATTTCTCTGCGCCACACTCGCCACCTATTAATATCCCAGCAATCTATTATAATTTTCTTTATTATTTGTGTGAAATAATTATTTAAATTCAATTAATGAGAACGTTGCTGGAACTTGTCGAGCAAATTGTTGTAATGCACTGCGGCTGAAATTTCGATCGTTTGAAAGATTATTCTCTAATTGCCTTAACCCTTTTCGAGGGGTCTTAATTAACGCCCTCACGGATTTAAGATATCGGTTGGGTGCGTCCGCGAATGCTCTCTCGAGACGTCCAGTACCCTCGCAATCCGCAATTAAACACGTGTAGGCCACGTGCGCCGACCGTGGTTCCTTTCGTTCTCTCGAGGGTAAAGGGTTGTTGGTAACCCGCGAGAACAGATATTGAAGGCGGGGTTGTTTTTTCGTCGTGTCGCTTTGAGGGCTGATTCACCGACAGTCGTTTCGACCATCCGCAGTTTACAGTTTAATTGAACTCGGCGTCATTAGCACGAGATTGTTACTGAAAGTGTGCGCGGTCCGTTCTGTTGCGATAAGATAACGTCGCATAAACGGCCATGGCGATTTGCGTAAGAATGCGGCTAGTACAACAGCCAAACTTCGAATCGCAGTACAGACGCATTAATTTTCGATAGCGACATGTGTTCTTCTACAGTTTCTCCCATCTACATCACAAATAAGACTTTGAAACATTCTGTACTTTCGATGGAGAGTAAAAATAGATATCGCGGCCTCTTTTTTCTTCTCTCTCGTCCATGCTAGGCAAATTTGCGCGGGATTTATCGGCGAAACGTGGTCTGCAGCGAGCGTGCGAAAGGTGAGAAAGTAAACGTGAGGAGCGGATTACGCGAGATAAAAAATTTGCGAGCCGCCTCGATCGACCGTTGTGCCATCACTCGCGCGGTCAAGGGACGGCAAGCGTCGATAAGATGTCGCCGGACAATTCGATACCGATGATAGAGCACGTGCTCTTGCCAGGGATGTTTCTTGATGGCGCAAAAAGGTTGCCTGCACGGGATGCGCACCTGCACTGTCGGTCTAGTATCTCTAGTACGGGGCCGGGCGCCCACGCGCGCCCTGTACGAATATTTACACCTCGTATCTCGCCCGTCCGTCCTCTTTCCCTCTCGTCACTTTTCTTTTTTCTTATCCGTCGCTTGCGCTTTATCGTCGTTCCGCACCGAGCGAAAATGTGCCACAGACAGGCGCTCCGTCCGAGCTAACTGTTACGTACACCAACAGCCAGTCCTCGTAAAATCTATTTGCCTGGACCAAACATCCTCCGCGCTCTCGTACTCCAGTCCCAGATCTTACTTATCCTACTTATCAATGTCTCCGGTTACGAGCGGAGCAATCTCAGCGAGCGGCAGTATTCTGTGCCGCGCGTCTTCTTCGCCGTCGGTATGCCTACGATTATAAGTGAGGACGACAAACGTCGCTCGGTCTCGTGAAACGCGGGGACTGTATCCGAGCCAAACTAGATATCCCCGCATAGCGCTGCGCTTGAAATATTTCTATTTCTTGCGGCAATATCTTTCGATGGCTGCCCATTCGCGCGAGGGGCTTCGCTGGATAAATATAAGGAATCGTGTATCGAACTTTCCATCGAAAACCTATGGTGTACCCGCCGTATATCATAGGTGATATTTTTAAATTGTAGAAGGTATTTATAATCGTTTTTTAAACAAGCGCAGCGATTCCTTTTGTTCCTTGGCAGCGGAGCGTAATGTATGCAATACATGACACTAATGATCTCGGCGATGTGCCCTCGCAAATATTCGCGGAGAACGGGACTGCGTGGCGACGTAGGAATGTCGTCAAAGAATGGTAGGTGTATTCCATGGGACGACGATAGCACGAAGACACCGTAACGGTGCTCCGAACCGATTGACAATGATTGAAGGCTGCGGGTCTCGACTTTCAACCATTCGGACCAGGGTCTCAACCTTCGTGTAGATCACCAATATATATCTTCGCCACGCTGTTCGTTGATCCCCTTAATCTCGTGGATGCATAAACTCAGCGCCGCCGAACAGAAAACGGAAAGCCCATGGCGCTCGCTATCGCGCGGCAACACGATTTCACGATCGTTTTGAACGCGCTGATGCTACCTCCCATGGTGCTTCCGTTTCTCCACGTTGAATTTTTCACATGTACACTGAGAGCTGAAAAACAGTGATGGTTATAACATTTTTCCTCGCTTTTAACTTTTAGTCTTTCTTACAGTAACCATTACGTACCACTACAGTAAGCATTCTCCCAGTAATCAGTACGGATTTTACAATAACTATTACGGATTCTACAGTAATGAATATTGTAGATCAACTGACTGACTGTTACTTACTAATCCAGTATTGAATCAGTACTGTATTTCCACAATCATTACGACAAAAACCAGTAATGGTCTTGGTACAAGATTTTATTGAAAATAAAAAAACTTTTCCACTAGCTTTTTTCCAATTTTTTTTATTGTGGGATTCGAACCTAAGATTTCGGATTACTAGCCTAGTACGCTAACGCTGAGCTAACTATTTATATATGTTTTCTACCCTACTGTTAGGCTACATATTATTTACATATTATTTTAATGCTGGTGGTCAACAGTAATGGTTACGGAATTGCACATCACTCAATAATAAAATTGTTCAGTAATCATGTTTTCTTTAATACAATATCGCTTACAACTTTAGTCGTTAGATGGTATTGTATTTTTCAGCAGACATTACTTTTTTTTAAGTAAGCATTTGCGTATTAAGATTAAAAGTTGAGAATGAGCAAAAATTCAGGGACTATTACTGTTTTTCGATTCTCAGTGTACCTATTGCGCTCGAATGTACATATCGCGCAATACCACACCGCGTGAATTTCGCCTTTGTTTTGTTTATATCGACGCTTTTAGCTTTTACCGACTAGTTCGATAAAGCGTTTGACGAGTTGAAAAATTTAGGAGTCATCAATACAATAGCGTCACATTTTACTTTTATAAAAATTATAGCGAAAGTTTGCTCGTTTAGTAATTTTTGCGTCGGTTTTCAAATCGTGTTATAATGTCTGAGATTGCTCCGAGCTTTATAAAGAAGATATTTTTTTATTATTCATCATTTATCCTATTTTTCTATTGCATCTCTCGTTGATTTTCTACTGAACAGTAAATTATTAATTACTATTTTTTCTTTTGCATTTATGCATTTTTATATTAAAAATTACTACGTTACACAGTTTAACGAGTTGAGGGGGGAAAAAACTGCTATACTTTTTATAAAGAGTTAACGCACAAGAATAATGACGTAATATAGTTCCTTCTTTGAATATCGGAACGCGTATTATTCAGACAGCTGGCCATTACGTGGCGCGCGAAGTTGCATAAAATTACATAGAAATATCCGATATAATTTCCCAAAGGGAAAAATAACGAATTGAGGCAAAGAAGTAATGGCCGATCAATAATGCCACTTGGTTTTTTTTTTGTATCCAGCTGTCGGGAGACGTATATCATTCGTGCGGGTTGATGGACCCCATTAAATGCCGCATAATTATTCGGTAATTTACGTAATAATTATGAGCGTAATGAAATGCCCACTTGCAGGGTGGACACTCTTTTGCATAAGCCGGGAAGACGGATTGCATAATCGTTTGTTGCCTCCGGCGTTGATCTCCGCGCAAAAAGTGAGACGAATTTCTAATGATACCCTTGGTCAGATCGTCGAATTGCCAAGCGGATCCGGCCAGCGGCGGCGC